GCAAGTTTGTCAAAGTCATTTCCGCATGTGATATTGGGTCAATTGGATTGACCACAAGACATGAGCTACACAAATGACACCTTGAACTGTGGAATGACTATGCCAACTTATATAAAATGTCATTTACCTTTAATGAGATAACTCACCTCATAAAAGGTACAGTCCTGTGTATATATATAATTTACATCGAAAGTTTAAGGTATCTGCTGACTTTACAGTCCCAATGTAGAGTTTGAAAACATGTTTTTTTCATATATTTACTATTAATCATGACTTAAAAATGAATTAAAGAAATTTTTGAAAAGATGTTTTTGAAATGAAAGTTGTCAGCTTTTCATGTCTTAAATTCCAAGTTTCCCGCCATTTTTCAAATAAAGTTGAACTTTTTTAATCATCAAATATTTTACTATACAGTGCAAGAAAGTATTATCTTCTTACAGCAATATAAAGATTGAACAAATGACACACTATTTCAATAATAAAATGTCATATCTGATGTGCCAATCCAATGTTTTAGCATATCGAATATATTTTGCAACCCTAGTGACCTCATCGTGACATCATTTAGGCGGCAACATTTCTCCATGTCTATCTTTTTCTATGCTAAACTAAAAAATAAACCAATGTTGACTGTCTAACCAGGTTAATATTATAAAGGATAGTCTATAGAAGACTTTTAATTTCCCCAAAACTTTGACATTATTTGACTTCTGACAAACGGCGATATCGAAAACAAACGGCGATTTAGGGCGCTCGCCCCCTGCTATTGAAAGCCCAGAATTAGAAAAATAGGCAATTTTTGTCATTTTTCTTGCTTATTTTATATTTGTAGCTTCAAGCAAAATATGATAACTTTAACAGCTCAAAAGAGTATTCTAACAACATTCCTAATAAGCTATGTGTGATATTGTAATAATCTATTATAGTGATGAAGTGCTATTTTCTAATTTTAATATGACTTTATAGTGCCCTACCCCTGGTAAATAGAAAAAAGTTGGTGTTGTTTCCTCTGGTTTTAACATTTTATTGACTTCTTAGTTGAAGAGACAATCAATTTTGTCAGTTTACCATGAGTAGCTTTACAATGGTTAACTATTCCCATGAATAGAGGGTTGGGACCTCAAAAATACCAGAACTGTTATGTGGCATCCTTGGGCAACCCTCTTCAGAGCATTTTCCTTACACTCCGATAAAATCTGCAGGGGATACTATAAGAAACCTATATATCTTAGATACTAATGAAGATACTGACTTCAAATTTTCAGGATTTGGTCCTGGTATGATAGGTAATCTGACAAAAAGAAAAATTCTGTTGCCATAGTAACAAGAATACCACACCATTTGTTTCCTAAGAAATGTGTTTTAAGAGGTTTTGTCATTCTCTTCATATTTCCAATTCTAAATATGTCTACAATGTGGGATGATTAAAATTATTGTAAAATAATCTTTTCTATTGTTCATGCAATGTTTCTAAAACGGAAGTTGCATTGCGACACATAGATCATAGAAAATCCTGGGATGATCGCTCTATTTGTCAGGAAATTAAAATGGAAACTGAAAAATGAGTTTCTTCCCACTGAATAGCAATTTGGTAGACCATGGCTGACACACACACGAGAAAACGTTTAACAGTTCTATGTCATTTTGTTGTTATTTTTTTATTTAGCGTGCACTGGGACTTATAACACCTAATGCCGAGTCTACTCCAACTGCAAAGGAAGGCAAGATTTTAATAATGAACAATAAATTTCATACATCTCAACAAATATGGCCTAAGATTTGGACAATGATGAGGAAACTCTGAGGGAAATTTAGACGAAACATTAATGTGAGTGGTCCAAAAATAACACTTACATGTTTTGGAAAAGTTATGCTCTCGGGTGAATCAGTGCTCATTTAAGGATAGTCTGAGTCAGGTGAATTTTTTAACCTCCCCAAACCCCCAAATTTTGACAATTTTTGAAAAGTGGCAAACAACAAGTTCAATATGGCTACTTCGCTTCGATGGCATAAAGATATGGTACGATCTCAGGTCAATCAATAAATTTCACAAGTGACACTCTATCTTATGCAGAAGACATGTCAAAAATCTGGTGGAAATAACTTTGTCACTCCTGATTTGACTCTGGAAAGGTTCAGATAAGCTATCACAAACAATTTCAGACAGTTATATCTTTGATTATGACCATTTTTTGACCATGAAGACAGGTATACAGGGATAATAATTTCAATCAGACTTGGAGATATTTCGCTAGCAATCAACCCATCAATATATTTTTTCAAAGTTGTTGACCTCATTTTCACCAAAAATGTAATTATTTTTTACAATGTTTAATACATCTACTATTCTTTATTTTAATGTATCAAATAGCTCTTGAAAGGAAAACTGAATTCCCCTAAGGTTAGTGTTCCCCATGTTATTTCCCCATTGAAAAAATTCATGCTATCCATTGGTTTCAGTTCATTTTGGTAATCCAAATTCAGTATCTTTAAAGTCTCTGGAGCAATCCACTTTTCCTCATAGGAAATAGAACATGTCTCAAAGCATATTCTAATTATGCATTCAACAATATAATTAAGGCTTGCTTTTTGGTTAAAATTAGGTCAACATTTTTAGTAAAAAGTATGTTGATTGGTCCATTCCCTTTAATATCACCATGGGCTTTCTAGTTGAAATCGAATATGTCTCAAAGCACATTCTAATTATGCATTCAACAATATAATTAAAGGTTGCATTTTTGGTAAAATTAGGTCAACATTTTTAGTAAAAAGTATGTTGATTGGGCCATTCCTGTAATATCACTTAGGTCTGATTAATTCCATTATCATTATATTTACTTTTCTTGAAGATAATGAATAGATATACCCATGTTCATGGTAAAAATAATATTCATAATTCAAGTTAGAATTGTCTGAAATTGTTTGGGATAACCTACATGCTCCTTTATGTAAATACTATCAAATGCTTTAGTCATGACAGTTGAAGTAAACTGAAGTCTTGGTATTTAAAGGCAGAATCAGATCTATATAGAGTAAACAAAATTGAAAGCAACATGTGAAGTTGACCTACCAATGTATTTCTTACAATCTCAAATATAATATCTCCAAAAAGATCCACAATATGTTATTAATTGGTAATGTTGTTTAAAATTCAAAGTGTAAAAATGTTCAAATTCTCCCAAATAATAATAATAAATAAGTTACACTAAGTTATACAAGTGTGAGGCACCATCTGTGTCTGGAGTTAGTGATGTTGGCACTGTTTGACAATGTTACCACCAATAATAAGAAGCAAGTATTGGCTACAATGCTTGTACATGGCTCCACTCATACAGCTATCGAGCAAGAGGCAAACCTGGTCTGATATTATGCATATTGCAGCTAGGTTGACTACCTTGGAAACATCTGGCTGTGATGCATCATGGCTTAATGAGGACTCTGCTATATGGTCAGATGATGAGAACTAACAGTTTTACGGAACTTTTGCCATGTTTTGCACATTGTAAATGACCCTTCTGAACGGGTTGTTAAGGTATATACCAGGAGGTTACGTGGGACACTGTAGTACATTACTTATGCATGATGACCACCACAGTCTAGTTGCTCAAATGAGATCAATTGATGATTATAATGTTTAGACTTTATGTCAATGTCCAGACTGTATGCCAACCTCTCTAATATGTGATTACACTAGATTTCATGATGAAACATGTACTAAATTGAAAACTTACATATAAAATATCTTAAGTCCTATACTCTAGTAATAAATGAATTAGAATGTCACCTAAACTTGAATTATTGAAAGTGGAACCTGTCTATAAATTATGGACAGATTTTTATTGAACGTCAAATTGACATTTATTTACGCCTTCTGAGCGACTTAAAGAGACTCTATTGAGACTTCTCTGTGGCATTTTTTCTTTATTCCTTTTTGTTTTGAATTTTTAACACCATAATATTAACTAACTACTCAATATGCAACTTTTCACCACGTAGAATTTTAAAATATCAAGTTTGAAAATTCCATTTTTATAATGGAGCTCAATGGGAAAAACTACATAATTTGAATTATTTTCAAACGTAGCGGCGCGATTTTGATAAAATTGACAGATATAATAAATATTGGTAAGACAAAATGTTTGATGAAAAATGAAGAAAATTCACCGTCCTGGTTACGCAAACTATAGAAAAATCTGAAATAATCATTAAAACCTGTAAAAATAGATTGAAGGGGGTGATATTCATTTTTAATGTGCCTTTCACTACTACAGGGTAACCATAATTTTGGTACTGATTTGATTTTTCAATGACAATCATTTCTATAGTGTATAGTCAGTTTAAATAATACAATTGCTATATTTCTTTACTGAACAGTGCAATCATTTATTTATTTATCAACAGTAATGCAAACTACATATTATACAGTTAGTAAAATATTAAAATAATTCTATTAAAACTAAAGCATTGAGATGATACTTAAATAATTACATATTATATTGATAGGCATATTATATTATAGGATTTAAGCGAATGATGACTCAACTTGTAGATGATTAAATTTAACATATGTCCTGATTTAAGACTATGAATGAGGGTGGTAGTCCGAATTCAAAGCCTAAACTAGAAGACATAAGTGAATTGAAGCATCCACTATTCATTGAATCATGTGCTTTAATTCAATTTCACACGTTGCAAAATATTTTTTACAATTTCACTTAACAGAATGATATTTTTTCAAAGATATGTTGTACTTTTAGAATCATTTGCTTCAAAGAATTGAACTATGGCGGCCTTTACTCGTTATTTTACGATTTTTGCTGTAACTCGAAAAGTAGTCGAGCGATTTTGTTCATATTTGGTATATGAATACTATAATCATGGCACACTGTCTAATGACTCTTCTGGTAGAAGGCGGCCATTTTAACGTATTTTACTATAACACGAAAAGTAGTGGAGAGATTTTGTTCATATTTGGTATGTGAATACTATAAGCATGGCACACTGTCTAATGACACTTTTGGTAGAAGGCAGCCATTTTGAAAAATGGCCGTCATTTTAACGTATTTTACTATAACTCGAAAAGTAGTAGAGCGATTTTGTTCATATTTGATGCGTGAACACTATAAGCGTGGCACACTGTCTAATGACACTTTTGGTAGAAGGTGGCCATTTTGAAAAATGGCTGCCATTTTTGCTGTATACTTTGTTTGTAAAAAAATGCCAGCCATGGCTGTTCGATGGGATTTGCTACACTTTGGTGTTGCTGTTGTCTAGTTGAAGGATGGATGGACGGACAAATGGAGGGGTCTCTATAGCTTATCCCCTCATATTCGTTGGATTGAACAATTGTGAATATGGTTTGTTGGACAAATAAAACTGATTGAATGTCTAAAAGCAAATAATGAAGTGGTAATTTATTTAAAATCATTAAAATCTCAAACATGCTTGCTTTGGTCTAGTCACTTAATTCTATATACCTTATTAGATGCAGTGAAGGAGTTAAATCATTGGGATATGAATAAATCATGCAAAACATATTTTGTACATATTTTTCATCATTTAGGGTTACCCAGTAGTTTACAAGCTGACCTTTGCAAATTATATTTCACTTACTATCCTCATTCGCTATCACGCTATCTAGTTTCTTTCCAAATTGGCCTGGATTGTCTGGTTTATTGGTTTTAGCGAACCGTCCATTTCGTCGAACCATCATTTTGCTAAGGTTGTTTGTGATGAATATACAATATTCAGTTACATATAACTGCACAGCAACTTTATGCAAGCAGGTAATTGTGTGAGAGCACATAAAGTACACGAAGTATTGACCCACTTGTCTCAGTGAATCTTATAAACAGTGCATAAAGTTTTTTCTCACAGTTACTTATAGTGTAAGTTATTTTATTTCTATACAGTGTGGAATAGAGTTTATAAACTTTTACAGTTTCAAGCAGGTTTTAGTGTTTTCTGACCAATGATATGTTCAGACTTATTCATTTCACGATTATGTAATACTGACCTACATATCTGTATAGCATATCTTTAAATATTAAATTTCTGTTCATAATGAGTAAATAATTTGAAGAGAATTACTCCCAGTCAGTTTTCAATCATGATAGGAACTGGATGTGAACAGGTGAAATTATCATAATCATTAGTTCACCAACATTATAACATGTCTCTCATGCATAAAAATATATAGATAGACAATCTATTTAAGCTAATCTTCAGTGTCATTTGATGAATGACATTTGCTCTTATTCATTAAATCATTGACTGCAATACTCCAATAATTCAATGAACTAAACGATTACTTCCTATTTATTTCTGCAAGTCATATCAGATCGTATCTTGAAAATATTATGACGTGTCGCAAAAAGGTGGCGCATTTGTTTTTTAAGAGTATCGCGTGAATGTAACTTTGATTCCCCGGATTATAAGATAATATTCTAATTAAAGTTATATATCATTTTAAAGCTGTTTCGATGAAGATTTTAGATCAACTACACTCCGTTCACATTTTTTGCGCGTTCGTTTTTAAAAAAGAGTTTTTTACCAAAACATCTGGCAAATATCCCATGTTGACACGTTACATTTTGAATTATTTTTCGTCTTTAAACGCTCATAACTCAAACAATATATGACTATTATACTTATTTTTCGTCTTGATAAAGGTAGACGGAAGTTTTATTTCAAAGGATGAATTTTAGTAAGCGTCCCATATTGTGACGTCATAGAGTCTGAAAAATAGAATCTGTTGACAGCGACCTTTTTGCTCATTTTTTGGTACCTTCAACTTTTCAGGTGTACATTAAACAAAAAATACGAGATAAATTTTTAATAAATCATACATGATTATTTTGCTCCTAAACTCTAGTTTATTAATAAATAGTTGATTTTGTTCACAAAAGTATGTGTTTTCTGTTGTATGTGGAAAAGTGGAGGACGAAAGGTTTTCAAAATTCAGTAAAATAGGGCTAATTTACGCCATTCGCCTATTTTCAAGCACAGCAACACGTATATTTATTTCACCTAAAATATCAATTGATTCGTGTTTTATGATGCTCCTAGCCCATTAACAATATATATATATGATATCAGAGTTATTCGTCTAAAATGTTTTGAGATATAGAGGTAAATGTGGAGGACGAAAGGATTTTCATGTGTGTACATTTTTCTCAAAAACGTCACATTCTATCATGTTAAAAGCGAGGATCCTCTGGATTACGCCACAAAATGTGTAACAATGCGTGCGCGAGCTTTTTGCGACACGTCTATACTAAACATCGGAATATAGAATTGATATCTTGGAGGAGCGTGACATATACATGTATATATATTCCAATGTATATGTCACATATTTCCCGCTGCGTATCTCCCGATCCAAATATTCCCGGGAAAATGTTTTTTATTCAGTGTAGGAACAGTCAATTTGTTAAAATATCTTGCAAACCCTAATATCACACCAAACTAGTTCTCACTACGTTCTCGAAAACGGGCTTCAACTGTGTACGAACGGACTGGACGTACTTAGAACCGTTTGGGGTCTATTTACAAACTTCATCGAACGTACTTGAAAGGGTAGGTCCTCTAGAACTTAGAACATGCTCAAAATGCTCTCGTGGTCGTCACGCTCTACAATTAGAACGAGTGACAACGTACTAACGACGAGCTGGACGTACTACGAACGGAACCGTCGTACTTCAATCCTACTAGGGACGTTTTTACAACGAGTTGAACTGTCTGAGGACGTATTGAGAACGAGGTAGAACTAATTGCAAACGGGTTTAAACTGATTAAGAACGTATTCAAGACTGCTTATGAACGAGTTAGCAAACATATAGCTATCACACCAAACAAGTTGCCACTGCGTTCTTCAAAACTGGTTTTAAACTGTGTGCGAACGGAATGAACGTAGCTGCAACTTTCTAAGGACTATTTACGAACTTCATGAACGTTGTCAGACTAAGGGACGCGTTATACGACGTTGCACACCGACGTGGTGCGACCTGAACTAACTGGGAATGAGATGGAAGTATTGAAGACTGTTTATGAACGAAGTAGCTAATTATTTTCCGACCACAGCCAGATTGAGCCCGTTTTACGACGTTTTTGTAGGACTGGCAAGAACGAGTAAGAACTAGTTTGGTGTGATAGGGGGGTAAAGCAAAACTGTCAACATAGATCCAGTAGACCGTAGAATTTTTTTTAACCAAAATGTTGATGGATCTCTTGAAAATAATGAGAATGAGAACGCTTAATAGAAAACAAACCTGGATATGCAGGGTGTCTTGAAACTTCACTTGTGCAACATCATTTTTCATAGGATAAATTAGTTGTGATGATCGGTTTTGAATAATGATCACTGGGAAGATTTCAGACAAGAGCGTATATCATATAATGTTTATTGATGATATGTTGACATTGCTGATCGTTATTGACATCGCTGATGGCGAATAAATACCAAAAGGTAACGCTTTGCGCGAATGTCACTCGTGATGAATTTCTGATGGAACTTCGAATTCTCACTACGACATAATAACCATTTAACAAGATATTGTATGACCACTATCAGATAATTAAACGAGTTGTTGTAACTTCACAATTTACATTTTTTGTTTACAATCGCATGAGACATACGAGCCCGGGTATGTGAGGCTGATCTGAACAATAGTTCTGTCAAAAAATGATTAAATCAAATTACATAAGATTCGGAATGAAAGTGCCCCGTCCATATTTTATATTTGATTAAAAATGATTAGTGCATTGGGCAAATAGAATCCTTTTATTGCAGTTAATTCAAAATATTCCTATGCTGGCTGTACTTCAAAACTTTCTACCATTGACGTCATTGATTTGACTCATTTGCATACAACCAATCAGCGCGCCGGAAATTATCGATTTTCTTAACTTTGTGGAAAGGTGAATAGTTGCACCCTCATAGGCCTATAGTTTCACACTCTGCCGGGAAGTAGCTATTGCCCTATATCCTGGCGCTTAGCTGTTGAAAATACAACATTTAACAAACCCGCATTACATCTCTGACACACATCCAAGAATGGGATAAACACTCTACTATACCTAGCACCTAGAAATGCATAAGATACTTTGTTTGTCTAATTGAATTGTTTAATATATTTTTGAAAGTGCCTTACTAACATCTAACTTTCAACCGATAAACCATTCATAAGGAACAGACAAGTAAAAACAAATACATAGTCATTACAAATAAGCCAAATGGGTTGCTCATGAACACCAAATGCAAGGTATAGTAGAGTGATAAAGAACAATAGGATAAAGCTTTAGTTACTTCATTGGGTGTACATGTAACAATTATACCCTGATTCCAACAAACAGTACGTGCCCGCTAAACGCAGTGATTTTTAACAATGTCCCACGTTCGATGCCATGCAGTATAATTTATACAATGATCTGAACAGGCCCCTGTTATACTAACGAGACAACACTCGTTCTCTTTGTAAATCTTCATTCGTTCATAACATAAATGACGATCGATGGCTTCATTGGGAAGATTCAGGAAATTAGAAATAATTTATTGCGCTCCAGAATGATCCACGCGCTGCTTCTCTCTCTTGTGAACATAGACATCGAACAGTTAAGAACGGAATGATGGCGTTATGCCGTAATAATAGAATGATATATCACTATATAATGTTTTTATCATCTACGACCTCGTTCCAACGGTATTTGACCATCAGATATTTGCATTACAGTAATAGAGGAGTTTCTTTATAACTTTGAGATCTCACTTATTCTCGGTTGTTCGTGAGATTTTAAGAGATTTGCACATTAAACCTCTAATAGCTTACCTTTCCTTCTTTTTAATAGCGTATTTGAATTCAGTGAAAAGTTTTCTACAACATTTAACTTTGATTTATGTCGTTTAAATCATTTTGCATGAATTTTGCAACTAGTCTAAAACAAATCTGGGTCAAATCTCCTTTAATGCAATGTTAAATTTCTTTAAATCTTGGTTTATTCGTGTTACACAATATGATTTATCACAGTATGTACATTAATAAGGTCATCCCGGCCCATAGTATGCCATTTGAGTTTCAAACACCTTTTGATAAATCATGAAATTAAAGGGACAAAGTGCTGAAATGAACTTTTGATCTTCATAGTATTTCCAATGGATAAATAAGTACCTGATCTTTCACTTGACACCAAAAATAGCTCAAACAGACCACATCAGACTTGACACTAGATCATGGGAAAATATTTTGGATCTATCAATTTATATATGTGTCAAGTTTTTAGCAATGCCATAGAAAGATGGCATTGTTGTTTGCATTGATCATCCATTCATTTTTGATAGGATTTTCAAGCAAACGCCATCTTTTAATCCAAGAGTTATTTAAAACATACATTTTTTGAAAAGTGGTAATTCACTTTTTCAATCTCTGAACTTCAAATGCCGTTTTCTATGCGAATAATTTTTTTTCACTTCAGGATTATCCCAAATTAAAGTTTTTATCATATTTGATTGACTGTGTGAGTGACATGTCTCAAATAATATTTTGTCCCTTTTCCTTCAAAAATAGGCGCATTGCCTGTTTAAGTGACTATCGCAAGTTTT